ACTCTAATTTGAATAATAAGAATGTGTAATTACTCTCCCAAAATAACAGAAGAATCATGATGAAATCGATCATAAACGAAAATGACATGTTCAGAAGCTCATCAAAATGAAATTAAATTCAAATATATATATATATATATATATATATATATATATATATATATATATATATATATATATATATATATATATATATATATTATCAAAACTTATTCACGATGACCTTCGCTCGCTCTAATATTTTAAATTTCTCTCCTGGAGTAACAAGGTGCCTAAGAGCTTTCACGTACGATTTCATTTCTAAGTCCTCTTTTCACTGCTCTTTGGACTGTCATAGCTCTCTCATGTGCCAAACGTCTTATGGATTGAGTTTTTTTCTAATTGATCTCTTTTGCTCCATGTTAAAATGATCATCCCTCTCCCTGTTGGGACCTCCAGATCCAGTTTACCTCTCTACTGATCACTCTTTTCTAAACATATTCACCGTTTTCTTGATGGTTATCGAATGGACTTTGAAAATGGGAGCTAGACTATGAATTTTGGTAGATTACTGAAGACCTGAATGATCTTTCTCCTCTCGCCATTGCTCATTTGGGAAGATAGTGGTGCTGACACAAAATTGCTTGTACCCGTTCTCTTTCTAGCTGAATAACTCAAAGGGTTTTTCAGTGATTCTCATGTTTAAATGGTGTCAAGATGGGTTATCTGAAAACCTCGAAAGAGAAACCCAGATTAGTTGTTTTTTAGATATTAAACATTTTTGTGGGATGTAGAATTATGCTTTTACACGAACTGAACAATTTTACTGGTTTCGCTATATATATATATATATATATATATATATATATATAAAGTGTCAATCAAATCGCTTATTTCTTTGTGTGTGTGTATATGTGTGTGTGAATGTGTGTGTGTGTGTGTGTGTGTGTGAGTGTGTGTGTGCTGCCAGGTGAATAGACGTAGTTAGTCAAAATGCCTGTTCATGGTGTAGTGTGATTTCGATCCACATTATATGCCGATGCAAAATTTGACTTTAAATGATGAAACAATGCTTTCTCATAACGCAAACCTTAATTACTAACTGGTGATGTGAAGAGCTAAGTTGCGAACTAAACCTTCGGAGTTAGTCATAATGCCGGGGTGATGTTTAGTGACCCTGACCACGAACTAAAGGCACACCATCCATACACTACAATTTCATTAATCTTGTTTGATCAGCGTTACTGCGTGTTAATTCTAAACACGACAACAGATAAGATTTTATATTTTCTCTCTTCTGATGTTACGATTCAGAGTTAAGCTACCGAAGTCGATGGTTATCATTTCTTGACATCTGATTATTGTTAGTAAGAATGTATAGCGGTTCTATCGCAATGTTTTTTTAAATATTCAATAAGGCCCACAAAGGCCACTAATTTTTCTATAAAATGTACGTCATTCTGTAGTGGTTTGAAAACGGTACACACCTTCCGCCTCATGCTTGGATTCTGTGATTTTTTAATCATTTAACCGCTAGTAATGCGAGAATGTCATTAGTACGCAGAGGGTTACAGGGAGCGAAAGTGTGAAAAAAAATACTGAGTATAGAGAGGATCGCGGAAAGGATAGAAGAAAGGGGATGAACGGTATTCAAGAAGATAGATGGAGATTGGTGTTGTATTATATTTTTTTAAGACTGTAGTTTTTATGGAAGGAAAGAGACGGAAAGGATTTCCACTCGCGCGAAGGGCGAAAAAAGAAACAGTTCGAGTAGAAATGGCGATTGAAATTAAACGAATGGGACCTAGGGGACAAACTAGTCACGCGCTCAAATTCATGCATTCGAGGCACCATGGAAAAAAAGAGGTCGTCAGATATGTTACCATGAAAATATTCCTAGAAATACACCTTGTGATATACTAAGCATAGTTGTATAAGTAAGTACGACAGAGATATTTTATACGTCTGAGTATGCGTGTTTGCGTGTTTCCTGCGTGTGTGTGCGCGCGTGTGTGTGTGTGTGTGTGTGTGTGTGTGTGTGTGCGTGTGTGTGTGTGAATGTGTACGTGTGCTTGTGTGACATTGGGCACAGCCCTTGCTTATTTATACGGAATCAGACAAAAAAGCGGTTCTTTTACGAACAATCAAAACAGTTCTCAACATATGAGCCAATACAAACAAACAGGAAGAGAAATATATTTAGAAAAAAAAACAAAACAAACTTAAAATTGTAGGTAGAGAAAACAGAAAGGGTTTAAATTGTGGGAATCTTTGTTGATGATTTTTAAAAATGTTTTGTGTCCCTTTAAAACGGAGATAATCATGTCTCTCCACAACTTCTTATTTTCAGTCGCAATAAATTTGAATAGATGAACTCACCTATCTAAAATAGGACTTTTATTCCAAATACAAATATACTAACGCCGAGAATCGTCAGTAGTAGTAGTAGTAGTAGTAATAGTAGAGAGAGAGAAAGAAAGAGATTTAATAGAGATCTAGCTTACCTGCTTACTACAGAGTTCATATGTCCATGTATCTTCTTAACGCGATGCGAAAGTGAATAAACTTCAAGGCTGTATAATATACTGCTATATCTTCGTTAAAGGTCTAACATCAAGCAACGATGCGGAAATACGCTTTCGAATCCTTACAGAACTTAAACAGGATTCAAAGTTAATGATACGGAATATTGCGGAAGAGTGCCAAAAAGCTGTCAATTTAATCCACGACACAGCGAAAATCGAACTAAATGATACGTCTGATGTACAAGTTGCTCGAAGAAACAGTAGTACCAAAAAAAAAAATCTAGAATTAAAAATACTGCAAACCTTAACTCATACTGTGGCGGTGGTATGCTTCGTTTCATAAAAAAAACTGTCCATTTAAACCAAAAAACAGTTTTAATTTTGGAAAAAGCGGTCAGGAAAGAAACTACTTCAAGTCAAAAAGCAAAATAGTTACACAAATTAACTTGCTGAATGTAGTACTACGAACTTAAAAACTAGGAAGCTCAAATAATAGAAAATTAGTGATAATACAAATGAATAAAGCTACAGTGAGATTTCAATTGGTCACTGACAGTGATATTACAATTTTTGATGAAAAACTTGAAACCGAATTGGCAAAACTAATTTGAGAAAAATCGACAAAGTTGCAAGAGGAATATCTGGCAAGAAATTATGTTTTTCTTGAGAAAATCACGTACAACATTGCCTAACGGGTAAAACTAAAAAAAAAAAAAAAAAAAAAAAAAAAAACAGATATTTTCTCAAAGGTGTTGAAAAAATGTATAAAGTCAAAGACATTTTTTTAGAATTTGAAGAACATGTGATACGAGTGTTTAAGCCCAAAAGTGATATACCTTTTACTGCGTTGGAGTGGATTAAAACCGAACTAGACAGATTAGAAACCGCGGAGATTATTGAAAAAATCAGAATACGCCACGCAAAGGTTTTATATTAGAAATAAAAATAATAAAATTCGTTTATGTACAGATTTTTCAACTAGGTTGAATGACTGCATGCATATCTCTTACCAACGGCAGAGGATATATTTGCCAAATTGAATGGTGGTAAATTCTTTACAAAGTTGACCTGTCTAAAGCATATCTTCAAATCGAAGTGGCTGAAGAATATCAGAATTTTGACTATTAATACACATAAAGAATTCTACAAGTTTAAAAGATTACACTTTGGTGTAAATGTAGCCGCAGGTATATTCCGGCAAATAATGGATACGATGTTGGCTGGACTAGAAGGTACTGTCGCTTACATAGATGATATACTTATTAAGAGTGCTACGGAAACAGAGCACGTAAAACTGATTCAGGAAGTATTTCAGAAACTACAAGATTACGATTTCAATATAAGTGAACAGAAATGTCATTTCTTTAGGGATAAGATTAAATATAAAAGTCAGATAATCGACGAAGAAGTCGAGCACTGATGAATCGTTGACAATCCTGCATGTAGATTTTGCTGGACCAAGAAATGTTTCCTACTGTTGAATTGTGGTTGACAGTTTCCGAAAATGGCCCGAGATAATAAAGTATAAACGACCTACTACTTTAATAACGATTACATTCTTGCGCGAATTTTTTGCAAGGTTTGGAATACGTGGCAGTGTGGTATCCGATAATGGAACTCAATTTACTTCTAGCGAGTTTCAAAATTCCTGCAAGAACTACGCGGTTGAACATTTGACAACGTCGATTTATCATCCGAGATCGAATGGTCAAGCGGAACGGTTTGTTGACCCATTCAGGGTGGCATTAAGAAAAGCTAAAGGATTGGAATTTGAAGAAACTGCACTACAAGAATTTTTGAGCGCGTATCGAATGACGTCAAATACAAAAGTCCCCACAAAAAAAAATTACTTGCAGAGCTCATGTTTGCTAGGAAAGTTAGATCAATTTTTGACAAATTACTGTAAGGGAAAAAGATGTAAGTTCGACAGTTTCAAACTACCGGATCTTGTAAGATCAGTGATAAAGTTTTCTTTACAAGCTTTAAGGGCGGAAAAGAAAAGTGGCAGAAAGGAAAAACCATTCAACGTCTTAGGTGAACAACACAGACATAGAAGACGTAAATCAGGTGATGTCAAGATATGCAAAGAATAAGCAACCAGTACAATTTAATTTACCGATGGAGATACTTTAAGATAAATTTGAAGTAACTATTCCTAAAACTGAAATTACAAAAAAGCTTCAGGCTAAGCGAAAACATGATCCGACTGAACCATTGGAAGTGGACACATATCGGAAAAACAAAGTACAGTGCATATCTAAAAAGATTGTATTGTGGAGATGAACACTCATCGCCAGAAGAAAACTTAAACTCATCCATATACATATATACTAACGACGAGAATCCCCAGTAGAAGAAGGAGAGAGAGAGAGAAATCAAGTAGAGATCTCCAAGCGATATTATATTTCTTGTGAATGTTATCTTCATTCAATGGAATGAGGAGATAGATAGATAGATAGATAGATAGATAGATAGATAGATAGATCATGAAAAGACTACGATAGATAGATAGATAGATAGATAGATAGATAGATAGATCATGAAAAGACTACGATAGATAGATAGATAGATAGATAGATAGATAGATAGATAGATAGATAGATAGAAATGAAAACTGAGGTAGAAATAAACTTATATGAATAAGAAAACATTACATAGATAGATATAAAGATAGAGAGATCAAAAAACTTAATATAACTGAGGTTAGAAAACAGCTTTATACGAATAAAGATCGATCGATCGATAGATAGATAAGAAAATTGATTAAATTTAGATAATAAAACAATTATACAAGAAAAGAGTTCGGTAGATAGATGAATAAGGCACGAGTGGGATAGGAATAAGTTTAATAGCTAGCTAGCTAGCTAGCTAGATGAATGAATAATAGATGAATAGATAGATAAGAAAAGTGAATTAAGAATGACCTTATGAACAATGAGAAATAAAGTTGGGTATATATATATATATATATATATATATATATATATATATATATATATATATATATATGGAGAGAAAGAGAGAGATAGCCATATATATATATACACAAGAAAAGAATGAGATTTATAGACAGATAGAAGTTAAGAAAACTGAATAACATTAGATAGATGAGAAAAAGATAAAATATAATTATAAAGTTTGATAGACATAGATAGATATATAGATAAGAAAACAATGAAATAAATAGATAGATAGATAGATAGATAGATAGATAGATAGATAGATAGATAGATAGATAGATAATTGTCCATGTAACCTAAATAAAATTACAATAAGAAGTTATGATAGATGTATTTAATGCAAATTTTATACCAATACCAGTATGATGCTTCATCTTTTTTCCATAAAATTTATATTCCTCATGCAATTAATTGTACATGAGGGTATACATGTGTATTTTGATGAGTTCAAATAAATGTTTTTGAGTGTGCCCTTGCTTATAACAATATATAATGCTAAGGAAACAAACAGAACAATATAGATAGATAAGAAGAAAAGAATGAGATATGAATAAGGTTATATAGATAGACAGGTAGTAAGATAACGGAGCTAAGAATAAACTTAGCTAAGAAAACAATGCGATAGATCGATAGATAAATATATAGATAGATAGATAAAAACAGAATGTGATAGTAATCACGTTATGTAGTATAAAAATTTTATTTTTATTATTTTAAAAGGTGTTAGAATTGTAAATGTATAATCGTCTATGTTGTTTTTAATATACGTTTTTTGAGGGAAGTGTATTTCCCGAAGGCCCGACGCTTTGTGTAAAAGTTGTAACATTTTTATGATCTTTTTACGTCAAGCTCTTGAGCGCCCAAATTATTTGTTGAACTGTCGATGTTTCGGTTTTCAAATTCTTGGTGAAAGGTTTCGTATTTAGTGACCAATGAGAGACGATCTTGTGGAAACTTGAAGCGAGCCGGTATGAAGGTTTTTTTTTTCTTCGAAAAAGGGATAGCTATGAGCGGATAAACAGCAGTTAAAGAAGGAAGCGTTGAAAACACAGTTAACGGTAGCGGAAGAAGGCTTTATCGCCCACTGGTCCAGGCGAGAGTGTCATAAATTAACACGCGGGAAAAGAAAAAAAAGAGTCGACAGATTCAAACCTAGGACAGAACATTCATTCCTGTGCATTCAAACAGAAGAATTTAAGCCGAAAGAACATTCAAGTTTAACTTTCCAGCGAAATACTCCAAAAGACCCTTGTGACACACGAAAACTCTTTCGTGTTGAGAAGTCCTGTTATGGAGTATTTTGTTACCAACAGAGGTGAATAAGATTTGTGTATTCTATCTTGTGCAATATGTTTGCTTCCTCTAAGTTTTTTTTTCCTTTTTTTTTTACATTTTTAAAGGTTGTAGTCTTTTTTTGTCTTCAAATCCATGCCCTTTCCTAAAAATTGTAACGATTTCTTCCTTGTATCTGATAGTAGTCCGTTTTGTGTGACCGCAGAAAATTGTTATCCTTCCGTAATAGGCGTAATTGTTTTGCAATATTATAAAATAAATGTATTTTTACTTTTTACGATTTGACGCATCGGTGGTTTTCGTATGTAATTTCGTGCTTATTATAGTGACTTGCTATTTCGACTAACTCAATTTGGTGTCTGGCACAAGAACTTGGATTTAGTAGGAACGAACGTAATTTTTTTAATAGATAGACATAGATAGATAGCTAGATAACGGTTCTAGAAATAAACTTATATAAATAAGTAAAACATAAAATAGATAGATAGATAGATAGATAGAGAGATAGAGAGATAGATAGATAGATACATACATACATACATATAGGAATAAATTAAAACAGATGGATAGAGAGATAGATATGTTAAAATGAGCTAAGAATAAACTTAGATAAGAAAACAATGCTATAGAAATAAAGTTGGATAGATAGATAGATAGATAGATAGATAGATAGATAGATAGATAGATAGATAGATAGATAGATATTTAAGAAAAACTGAATAAACGTACAAAGATAAAAATATTGATATAATTATAAAGTTGGATAGATATATAGATAGCTAAGTAAACAGATCTAAGAAAATATTATATAGATAAGATAACAAATATATATATATATATATATATATATATATATATATATATATATATATATATAGGTAGATAGATATATATTTAAGAAAACTGAATGAATTTACAGATTAGAAAATAATAATAATACAGTTATAAAGTTAGATAGATATATAGATAGAGAAAAAGTGTCAGATAGATAGCTAAAAACATATAGAAACGGAAACAATGAGATAGATAGATAGATAGATAGATAGATAGATAGATAGATAGATAGATAGATAGATAGATTATTAAACTGAATTAAGATAGAGAAGACAAGAGTTATAGTATTATACATTTTGATAGATAGATAGATAGATAGATAGATAGATATGAATGTAAATCTAATCGCAATGCCAGTTTGATGGTTTGTCTTTTTCCATACAATTACTTGTGCTTGGGCGTATGCATGTGTAACGCTATGAGTCCATCAGCAAATGTATGTGATTGTGTGTGTCCTTGGTTATATCAAATTGTAATGTTGAGAAAATAAACAAAGAACGAGAAAATATAAACGCCCGAGGTGGCACTTTAATCTGCAATTGAGAGTAATTTCGCTGTGGTATTTTCTGAAAAAAAAAAAAAAAAAGAAAAAAGAGAATTTGATGTTTCAAATCCTTAATGACCATACTGAGTTATCTTTTTTGAAACAATAATAGACTCTTTTTTTTTACTTTTCTTCAACAATGTTCTTATAAATTTTACTTTGAAAGTTTATTTGAAAGAAAAGAAGTTTCTCAATAGACCTGCGAGTAAAAATATTATTTACCTATATACACAGACTGAAAACTAAATTATTTACAAATAACCCTCATTGAGAAATTACATTAACCATCGAATTGTTTTTTTTCTTAGACGTGTCATTTATATGTGTCTTTGCTCTCGGCTAACATTCTTGTACGCTAACTGAAATTCTAAGTGACCCTTGCGCATTTAGAGACTCCTCCTCTTGTAGTAATGATTAGGCTGGTTGAATATTATTAACGAATAGTAAGTTGGTGATGTCCAAATGAAGCGTGTACAAATATTTAAATATGTAGAAAGTTTTTTAACAGTGGACGAGAAATGACACACCAAATCGCGATAGTGCATTCAAATAGCTGAATGTTAATGGTTATATTAATATTAGAGGTTTCCCTATAAGGAAACATTTGGCATTCATTTACCGAGCAGCCAAACCTGCTTTCAGTTAAAATTTATAAAATATAAATACTTTTATCATTTCAAGAAACCGTATCGCCCTTTCCAGATTCACGCGGGTTTTCCTCCCTAAATTTTTCTTTGAATTATTGTGATATATTGGTATATTTATTATGTTATTGTTTCTTCGTCGAGTTGCATATACATGTTGCCGCTGTTGGTCGTTCACAAGCCATGTGGCTTCTTTTATCTGGTACGCTTCTTTCTTTGTGGTTATGTAGCGCCAGGCGACAATGTTCAAAGAAGGGTGGTCTGAGGTTTTACTCGCACAAAGCATATGTTCAGCATTGTTCTTAGGAAGCGATTGTACACAGCTCAGAGTTCAGATATTCTGAAAGATTCTGGCACCATGCATGACATCCATATAAATGTCTCGGTGTGTCGAGGCTATTTTGAGATTTCAGATTGATGCCTTGGTTTCAGCAGATGCATTGCAAGAGTGTTGAAGCTTGGATAAGCATGGAATAATAATAATACAACACAAAATGTACGTACACAAAATGTATTGAAACAAGGAAAAGGTACACAATATTTACAGTTAGTTTTGTTATATTCTTGGGAAGACTGTTCCTGTAGAATGGGTTGACTTAATCGCAGTCGGGCAGAGTCTCTGGATTGGATCTCTTGTTACTTCCCTTCTCCGTCTTCCCGGTACCAACCCATATTTATATGGTCGGTACTCCACTATGTAAATTAGGTGGATCGTACCACAACAAAGAGCTACGCCAAAGCATTAAGTCACAGAACAGTCTTGTTAGGACCAAAGAAAAAAATACTTAACTCTTACATATAATATAGACAGAGAATTCTCGACAATCTTATCACAGATGAAGAAGAATATAGTTCTACATAAGGATGCTGAAAATAACATGGACTGAAAATGTGAGCAATCACGAAGCTTTAGACAAAATTCAAACACATAGGACATCTGTATTTAACATAAAAAAAGAAACACTTGAAATTTATAGGACACATAACGAGGAAAAAAGCTTTGAAGAATTTGACACTGGCAGCATATTTTGAAGATAACAGAGTAAAACAACAACTAATGTACCTCAGTATATTTTGTAAATGATCAACTGAAAAAAGACCAGGAAAGACAGCGAAAATACCTATTTTACGAAGAGCTACAAAAGAAAGGAAATTGTGAAGAGCTATGATCACCAACGCCCTGAAAGTTCAAAATACAATGAAGATTTTTGGCTTAGTTATATTACTAATATTTTTGGGAAGTTATGGAGCCATTTCTTTCTACATTGATAAGAACTGGTCTCTCTGCCCTTATGTAGTAATCATAATAGGAAAAACTGAGAATGAAAAAAAAATAGAGAAAACAATGGGATTCACTCCGCGTTTTCTTTACAAGATCTTAAACGTGATTCATAGTTAAGAAAATCTGTTAATTGTCATTGCCATCAACGTCCTGAAGCGACATAGTATTGAAAAAATGAATGACATCGATCTAGAGTAGAAATATCGTACTTGTAACTTTGATGCTAACTAAGCTAATCTTAATAATTTATGACTACTGATAATTAAATTTAGTCCTTATACTGTCCTCTTTACTTATGGCATTTTGGAAATCTAAGATCTCATTAACGTGGTGAAATGATCAATAAGCAGAAGGTTTTAACCGTTAAAAGAGAATTCGGGTCGCATTAGCTGGCACATACTTGCGATTTTGTGCCAATATTGGTTTAGAGATCCTTGATGTGTGAAAATAGTTGAATAGCCAGTTTTGTAGCTGACGTGTTCCCAACACCCAAACAATAAAATTGAGAGGGGGAAATAAAATGAGGAAATTTCAGATCGACAGAGTAATTTGAAGGTAAATAAGATAGAAATTGTTAACGTCTAAGACTGAATAAATAGATGACGAAACAAATACTTTAGAAACCAACAGGCACCATAAATGAATAAGAATTACCAAAGACAGGATGCTATGGAGAGAGCTATGACTGATTAGAGAAGAATTAGATTCTAAATGTATTTTAGTTGTTTATTCTAAAATGAAGTAGTTTATTATTTTTTTTATTCGTATGGTTACGATAATGCGTTTCAAATCATGTACCTTTCGGCTTGGGCACCTCGAGGTGATGTAATGGTTAGCAAGCTTGTCTCGCTAGAACGATCACGACTGAGTAGGGTGGCCATACTTTCGGCCTTGTGCCAATCTAAGCTACGCTTGGAAAATCAACATATACCTTTCGGCTATCAAACAGTATCATTGGATTGTCAAACTAATTATCGTGCTTATGTTCTTGTTCAATAGCTTCGCCTAATAATAAAACACATTCAAACCCCATTTTGTGTGTAGCTGATTTTAGTTCCTTTGTTGAACTTGAACCAAAGTCAATATATTTATTAAACACGTCTTACATTGTAGTCTTATTTATTCATAGAAAAATGTGTTTCTGTCTATATATTTCTGAGGTGAGATATTGCAATTATTTATACTGTTTATATTTTCGAACTGTCCTCATCTTCGTTGCCATATTCACGACGTTTCGTCCGTTGTACACTCCGGGCTTCTTCAGGTCCTCAAGGACGCATGACCTAGTGAGGAAAAGCGTTGGTTGAATCCATTGACGGGATCCAAAGAGATGAAGTGTTCAATTCTTGATTACAGCTGAGGTGAACAAAAAACTTGGAGAATTGAGTTAAAGGGAGGTAACTGATACCGAGACACCCGGAAGAGGCATGAGACGTAGAACTAGAACAATCAACCCCGGTGGACTAAATAAAGGGTTCAGTTCTTAATTCCAATCACCTGAATAAGGCCGGAGCATAACAATGGTCGGAACGTCGTAAATATGACAAAGAAGATTAGGACAACAGTCCGAACTATGTAAACAGTGTAGATAATTTTTTGTCCATCATTACAAGTGATCACGGAAAACCATATTCAAGGAAAAAAGTTGTCTGGGAAGCTATCAAATCTAATACAAGTAGAGACTTTGTCAAAGAAAGAGAATGAAAGATCGTTTTGTAGAAAGTGGAATGCCGTATTAATATGAGAACTAGTGAAATAATATATTCTAGAAGATTGGTATATATCGCCATTTACATTATTCGGATTATTGTCCTCATCTTTGTCGCCATATTTATTACAACGTTTCGGCCACTGTACGCTTCGGCCTTCTTCAGGTGTTTGGAATGTCGAAGTGAACCATTTATTTCGCTCACAAAGACACATGGCACAGTAGATAAAGGCGTTAGTTAGATCCAGTGACAAGACCCAAAGAGTGTGAGTTCAATACCTGCTTAAAGCGGTGGAGAACTTGATGAGGGGAATTAACTAAAGATCTGACATCTATCAGACATGGCACGTGGAACTAGAACAGTCTACTCCAGTGAGAAATGCGACGAGGAAACTGCTAGCTATTCCAAATTTCCTGGAATACTTCCATCAATGGAAACGACACTAGATAAATTCTGTATATTCAAAAGTGGATTACTTCGGAGATTAAATGCCCACCCTAAAAGTCCAACGCCTCCT